TATACAAAAAACTTAGAAATCAGAGAAAGAGCCTTTAAGAAAGTAAATAATAAAAAAAATAAAAAAGCAGTCCAGTGAGGTAAACACACTTACACTATTACATAGTCTATGTCTTTTTCTCCACTAGAGCTTGGGAAATAGAGGCCAGCCCTCAGGGAAGCTCATGCTCTGAGAAAAGAAAAGGAGCAAAAACACATAAACATCCTGGGGGATCTGGTTAAAATGCAGATTCTGAGTAGGTCTGGGTGGAACCTGAGATCTGCATTTTAACAAGCTCCCACGTGTTGCTCATTGCTGCTGGTCAAAGGCCAAGGGACTAAGAAAACGTCCAGTTAATGAAGAAAACGGTTAAGGAAGGAAACATGTCCATCTTAATATCGGTGCTGAATGGAGATGCAGAAAAAGAAGCCCCTCTTGATATTTTGAAGCCACTGACTGACCACATCTTTGTTTATTCCTGATTATACACTATCTGCATGGCACAAACCCCCCCCCCCCGCCCACACACACACACAGTAAGATGCTCAGAGGAGCATCTTACTGTAAAGAGGACCCAAGTTGACGTGCTCTCAGACATATGGCAAAGCAGAAGCAAATTCTCTGAGGAGAAATACTTTTTCAATCCATTTCTCATGAAAGTCTCACAGAATCCCAGAAATCTGGAGCCGGAGAACTCAATAAATGAAATGAGGAATGTATGAGAGAGCACTGGAAATAGAGCAGTCCAGATGGAAGAGAGAATTAACAACCTTAAAGAGAGAAACCTAGCAATGACCCAGGAAGATGAAAAGAGAGAACTAAGAGGGTTTTTTTTTGTTTGTTTTTTTAATGAAAGAACTCCATCTCACTACATCAGAGGAAGCAATGTAAGGGTAATAGGTATATCAGAAGGAGAAGAAAAGAAGAAGGGAACAGAGAGCCTACTAAAAGAAATAGTTGATGAGAATTTCCCAAGCCCATGGAAAGAACTGGACTTCAAATAGAGGAATCTAACAGAACACCTAATTATTGCAATGCAAAAAGATGTTTTCCAAGACACATTTTATTCAAACTGTCAAAAATTAATGACAAAGAAAGAATTCTCAAAGCAGCCAGCGAAAACAAGACTGTACCATTCAACGGAAACCCCGTTAAACTATCATCAGATTGCTCAATAGAAACATTACAAGATAGGAGAGAGTGGAAGGAAATCTTCAAAATATTTTTTTTAAATATACTTTTATTCCTGGTCAGGGCACATGCCTGGGTTGCAGGCTTGATCTCCAATATGGGGGGTGTAGGAGGCAGCCGATCAATGATTCTCTCTCATCATTGATGTTTCTATCTCTATCTCCCTCTCCCTTCTCTCTGAAATCAATACAAATATATATTTTTTAAAAAGCTGTGGTACATTTACATTATGGAATACTATGCAGCAGTCTTTAAAAAGAAAGATCTCTTACCCTTTAAGACAGCATGGACAGACCTGGAGGGTATTATGTTAAGCAAAATAAGCCAGTCAGAAAAAGACAAGAATCACATGATCTCACTCATATGTGGAATCTAAAGAACAAAATAAACTGAAGAACAAAATAGATCCAGAGACATAGAAGCATGGAACAGACTGTGGAATCTCAGAAGTAAGGCTCGGGTAGATGGGAAGAGATTAACCAAATAACTTATAGGCACATATGCATAACCCATGGACAAAGACAATAGTGTGGTGAATTCAGGCCTGGAGTGGGAGGCAGGTTCGGGCTAGAAGCGGCCAATGGGGCAAAAAAAGGGGACATTCGTAATACTTTCAACAATAAAGATTTTTTAAAATAATCAATAAAAACCATAAAACATTGAGCAGTATTAATCAAATATTCTACTTCTTATTTATTTATTTATTTTTAAAAAGAATTTTAAAAATAAAAGATTTTTTAAAATAATCAATAAAAAAAAAGAATTTTAAAATAAAAGATTTTTTAAAATAATCAATAAAAACCATAAAACATTGAGCAGTATTAATCAAATATTCTACTTCTTATTTATTTATTTATTTTTAAAAAGAATTTTATATGAAAAGCAGATACCCAAGAATAGACACTTCTGAAAATCAAGATGGGAGGACTTACCCTACTAGATATCAAGATTAATTACAAAGGTACGGTTATTAAAGGCAGGTGGCATCAGTACATGAATAAACAGAATAATGAAACTGAAAAGAGAGCCAAAGAAATAAACCCATGAATATATATATATATATATATATATATATATATATATATATATATATTAGAGGCCCAATGCACAAAATTTGTGCAAGAGAAGGCCTTCCTTCCCCCGGCTGCCGGCTGCCGGCACCAGCTTCCCTCTGGCACCCAGGACCCAGGCTTCCCTCCGGCCCCAGCTTCTTCCAGAATGACATCCGGTCTAATTAGCATATTACGCTTTTATTATTATAGAGGATTATATACATAATACACATATATTATGTATATGTAATACATATAATATATATAATGTAAACTTGATGTATTTATTTAAATTAGGGACTTATTTTTTTAATATATTTTTATTGATTTCAGAGAGGAAGGGAGAGGGAGAGAAACATCAATAATGAGAGAGAATCACTGATCCGCTGCCTCCTGCGCACCCACCAGCCTGCAACCTGGGTATGTGCCCTTGACTGGAATTGAGCCCAGGACCCTGCAGTCCACAGGCAGACGCTCTATCCACTGAGCCAAACTAGCTAGTGCTATACGTAAACTTGATTTATGATAACTGGCAATATACAGTGTGAGAAAGGGACCTGGGACAACTGGTTATTGCTATGAAAAAAATGAAATTGGTTTCCTGCCTTACACCATACACAAAAATCAATTCCTGGTAAAAAAAAAAAAAGGTTTAAATATAAAAATCAAAACTATAGACCTTTCAGAAGAAATTATAGAAAAATACTTTATGACTTTAGGGTAGAAAAGGCTTTATTAGACAAGATCACAAAGCACTGACAATAAACAAAAGGATTACAAGATGAAAACAAAATTATGAATCAAGACACTTTTGAAGCTGAGTGATTGTACATACAGATTCATTACTGTATTCTGTCTACTGTCTTACATGACTTAAAAAAAGAGACACCATACGAGTGACAAAAATAGCCCACAAACTGAGCTACGTGCCACTTACATAACTAAAAAAGGCTTAGTATTCAAATATATGTGAAAAATATAAATAAGACAAATAATCCATGAAGAAAATAAAGATATTTCAGAACAAAGCGAACAAAATTTTAAAAGATTTTTAATTCCTCTAACAATAGGAAAGCAAAATTGCAGTAAGATACTATTTCAGCATCCTAGAGTCACACAAAAATGAAAATTTCTGATGATATCAAGTGTTGGCAAGTATGTGGAGCAACAGGAACTCATATACTGCTGGTAGAAGTGTGAGCTGCCAGTAAGAATGGACAATGAATGCCTTTATAACTGGCATCGGACTGTAAAACTGAACAGCCCTATACAATATGTTCCAGGAATTCCATTCCTTGCACGAGAGCACCCATAACAGGTAAGAATGTGTAGCAACCAAACCTGGTGTTTCTAGAATTATCCAAATGCTCACTGAGGAGAATGGAAGAACATATGATATATTTTCACAGTTGAGCAACCTCTAACATCACTATGGATGAATCTCAAAATACACAGTTGAAAAAAGCAGCAAAATAAAAATAAAAATGGTGTGAAGCCATTTCTATAAAGATAAAAAACATGCAAAGTTACACATCTTCATCCGGAAGCAGCACACAGGAAGTTGCTTGGCAATAGAAATATTCTACTTCTTATACTGGAGAATGGGTTTGTAAATGTTGGCTTTGCTTCATAACTTACACGTGTTGTATAATCTTTTGGTATCAAATGCTTCATAAGTTTTAACACTAGTGAAAAAAGGTTGTTGTATGGACACAACAAAATGTTAGTGTTATTACCTTGGAGTTTGGATAACGTAGGACTTTCACTTTTTAGATTATTCATTCTGGACCATTTAAAATTTTTACTCTTTAACAAATAATATGCTTGGGGAGAAATGATTACAGAAAGGAAAACCAACTGCATAGGAACCTGGGACCCATGAGTATGAGGGGCAGTAATCCTGTTTTCAATGTACACAACACAATTTCCCCCAGATGTCCTAAGGTAAAACCATGCTTAGCACACTCTGTGGGTTAAGTCTGTAATATATTGAGAACATTTCCAACCCAAAGGGATTAAGAAGTATTGGTTTTTACTGAAAGTATCCATACTTTCTCTGTATTAACAATTCCTAGCTTCATCTAATTTTTGTTATGCTTATTTGCCTTTGGCCCACTTCTGCACTTTTCCAATGTTTTTCATAGTGTAAACTGCACAAATCCTTTGTGATGTAAACAAATAAATACACGAATGACTCCCACTCCCAAAGGGCTCACTTTTCCATTTGTGCCACAAGCATCAGAGTCTAGTGCGCTGGGCAAGTTCCCCAACACCCCACCAGGAACGTGTGCTGCCGGCCCTTCCCGGGCAGAGCGGCGGCCGAAGGAAGCAGGTGGCCGGTGGGAAGGGCTTGGGGCTCTTCCAGCTCCAGTCCCACCCTGGGGTCCCCCTACGGCACCTGCCTAGGCCAAGGCGCGCGTGGCCGAGCGGAGTGACCGAGGAGCTCGGCGACCTCCTGCACCCGCAAACCCCTCGACACACGCGGCTTCCCCTGCGGGAGGCCTTCCTCGCGGCGCCGGGGCCCCCGCCCGCGACCCTCGCTCCTGGGCCGGGTGCCTTACTTGCCGTTCTCCACGCTGTAGCCGGAGCGCGACCTAGAAACCCCGCGACCGCCATGGCGCAGACTCCCGCCGCGCAGTGTCGTTTCTGGGCCTCCGGTGGGAGGCGGGACTGCGTGGGCCGGGGGCGGGGCTTCCGTGGGTGGGCGGGGCTCCTCGTGGGGGCGGGGCTTCCGTCCTCCCCGCGTTGGGCATCAGAGCTCTTGGCTCAGGCTTTTTGTAGACAAAGGAGCGCAGGAAGCACGAACGACCCAAATTACTCTGAAGCCCGTGTGAATTCAACCCCCAAATCATGGCTGAAGTGGGATGAGGGAATCATTTCGTTTAATATCTAAATCTGAGGGACAAGGGCTCTTGGAAGATCTTTTATAGTATACGAAGACTGAGCATCTTTTACTCATTTCCCTCAGTTCTCTCTCTCTCTCTCTCTCTCTCTCTCTCTCTCTCTCTCTCTCTCTCTCTCTCTCTCATTTACTTTTTAATCTATTGTTTAGTGAACTCCTAATTCCTCACTCATTGACCAGATGACCTGAAAGATGAGTTTTGAGTGACATGCAGAGCAAGGAAAAGCTTTCCATCTGTCCAGGCTGCTGTGAAAGGAGTCCTGCCAATTGGCCCCTTAAATTCCAACAGTTCCAATGTGTTGGTAGCATTTGTGGCAGATCAGGAGGCTTCTTGTAACCCGTGGAAGTCTTTTTAAATTTTTATTTATTTTATTTTAGAGAGAAAGGGAGAGAGAGAAACATAGATGGCAGAGAGAAACATCATCATCCATAGGCTGCCTCCTGCGTGCTCCCTATTGGGGGTGGAGCCCGCAACCCGGAGAGGGGGTGGGTAGGGTGGGGGCGGGGGGAGATGTGCCCTGACCAGGAATGGAACCAGCGACCTCTTGGTGCATGGGTCGGCGCTCAACCACTGAGCCACACTGGCCAAGCTGGAAGTCTTTACAGAATTACAGTGGAAGTCTCCAGAATTTGTCTGACCACGTGACATCAGGTGGCTATGCAATCTGAGTTTCTCATCATGAACTGGGCGTTATCTGGTCCTTTTAGATAAGTTTTTTTTTTTTTTACGAAGAGGAAGTGGTTTATACAGAACAGGGCCAACACCCCCCCCCCCCAACAAACAAACAAACCACAGCCAATTTTCATTAGCATACTTTTGACCCTGAGCTCATATCTACAGCTTAACAAGGAGTTCCCTGGGTGAGAAAAAAATTCAAAGCTGGATTACAGATGTAATTTTGCTCAATGTACTGACCCAGCTGGCAAGGGACTGGCTTTGGCTTTTAAAGACCCATTTGTGAGAGACCCTCAGAAACAGCAGTGAGAAAAGAAAAAAAAAATCCTCATGGAGGGCAGAACGTTATCTTATACACTTTGCCTGGAAGGAGATATGACATTTCCTGGGCATTGAGTTAGTCGAGTGGTAAGGGACTGGGAAGAGGCTTTGGAATACTTCTGTGGAATCGGACCTCTCATAATGGCCCCAAAGTATAAGAATATTTTGGTCTGATTGAATGCTCAAAAAGGCTCTCATTGCTAAAGGGCTTTTAATCAGAACATATTATACCAAAATTTTGTGGCTTCAAAAACACTTATTCTCTCCCAGTTTTTGTGCATCAGGAATCCAGGTGCCAGGGTGCCTCTGGCTCTACCTCTTAAATGAGGTTACAGTCAAGCTGTTAGCTGGGGTTCCAGCCTCATAGGGAGGCATGACGAGGGGAGGGATCTGCTTTCAAACTCACTCACATGATTATTGGCAGGATGTTTTAGTTGGTCTACAGGCCTCCTTTAGTTCTTTGCTATGTGGGCTTCTCCAAAGGTCATCTCATAACATAGAAGCTGCTTTTTCCACAGACTGAGCAAAGGAGAGGAAAGGGGGGATTGATCAAGACGAGAGAGTCTTTTTTAACCGAATCTCAGAAGTGACATCTATCACTTTTGCTGTGTTCTAGCATTAGAAATAAATCAGATCCATCCCACTCTCAAAGGGAGGGGATTACACAAGGGATGAATACAGGCGGGTGGGCATTTTTGAAGGCCATTTTGGAGGCTACCACAATGACCCACTCTGTAGACAAGAGTCTCCTTCCCCCACCACAGCTGTTTGCTCAGTTGCTCACTAACAAGGTAGCCACGGTGGCATGGAGACATGCACATATTTTTAACATTATTTTCCTCTGCCAAGACTGATTGGTTAGCACTATTATTTGTAGATCCCATTGTAATCAAACCTGCCGTAGCAGCTTCTTCTATAGGAAGACAATTATTCTGGGTCTGGATTGCTTTCACTGACTTATGCTTCTTTTGTATACTCCCTCTGTGTTACTGAATACCTTATACACCATACACCTTCTATAGCATCCCATACAACACTGCTTCTTACCAAAGAACTCACTTTCCTGTGAAAGATGTGAAGCAGGGTATGATACCTGTGGGATTAACCAGTCTTATCACATATCCCATCAGACCAGAAGCAAATGGTCTCATAAAATAATGGACAGTCCTATTGAAGGTTTACTTTTGGAACCAGGTGAGAAAATACACTTTGGGATGCTGGCCTAAAAGGGTTTGGCATATCCTCCTAATAATTTAACAGTACTCAGTGATATCTCTTCTGTTGACCTGTATTTTGTTTGGAATACAGGGTCCAAAGAGTAGCAGAGGGATCGATACCTTGTTACACCTGACACACTGCTCATATATTTTGCTTTCCATTGTGGGGAGAAAAAAATCTGCCATGAGTTTCAAGTGTCCCTACATATTATTGCTGAGCATGTCAACTGCAAAACATCCATCTCCTGATACTGAACATTTCTGTAGCTAGTCATACAGGCATCTAAGTAGGTCAAAGCAACTACAGCATTACTACCATGTAACTGTTATTCTCCTGGGAGAAAAATACTGGCTTCTTTGCTGCTTGCTCAAAAACTGCTTGGCCCTCACCTCTGGATTCTTCTACTGCAAAGCAACCCACCAGATGTACAGGTGTCATCTGGCTCTCTGCATCACTGTGGGTGTTGGGGCTGACACTTGGCTACTATTTTGCTGTATTAAAGTCTTTTGTCTCTTACCTAGAACTCTTCTGTCAGCATGAAACCATGGCAAGAAAGCCAGCAAGTAGGCTAAAAACTCAGACCCTTCACTGGTCTTGCCAGCATCTCCATGATTCCAGGTTCTGTTGGTGTACCAATTTTTGCACCCTAAGTGAGGTACAAGGGGATATGTTTTCCCTGAATTGGAAGTTGGGATTGCCACTTATTTTTAGCTCATTCCTCTAGGCAAGGAATTAGAAAAAGTGGTAATGGTACCAGCAGGAGTGATTGGCCCTGATGAACATGAGGGTAAAGGGAGTAGGGAGAGGAGTCTGACTAGAACTTGGGAATCTCATTTCTTGGAATACCTCCTACCAATAGCATGTTGAATTGTAAAAATTAAGCAAAGATTGTTGCAACTGCATCTAGGCAAAACCACCCAAGCCACAGATCCTTGTGTCACCCATGAGGTAAACAAATCTGATCAGGTGAGGTCTGGTTGAAAACAAAGAGAATGGAATATGTGGCAGTGGTGACAAGCCATACTCATCTAGTCTTCATGACCAGTGGCGAACTGAGAACTATATTTACCAAAAAAATATATATTTTTGAAAATCATAGAACTTTGGGACATAAACATGCTGCTACCAATATTCTAACCTGGAGATTCAATTGTTCTGTAATGGGGCTCTAGAGTTTTTTTTAAATGAGTTACCCAAGTAATTCTCACCAAGGAAGCTTTAAAAGCACTGTTCAAGCTATATTCTCATTGGCTCGTGTATGTTTACATATTGTTTCCTTTTTTCCTATCTTTTATTATTGTATACTAGAGGCCCAGTGCATGAAATTCGTGCGGGGGGAGGGGGTCCCTCAGCCCGACATGCACCCTCTCCAATCTGGGACATCCCTCTTGCAATCCGGGTCCGCTGGCTCCTAACTGCTCGCCTGCCTACTGGCTTGACTGCTGCCTAACCGCTCCCCTGCCGGGCTGATGGCCAACTGCCCTCCCCTGCCGGGCTGATGGCCCCCAACTGCTCTCCCCTGCCGGCCTCACAGTCCCCAACTGCCCCGGCCAGCCTGATGGCCCCCAACTGCCCTCCCCTGCCAGCCTGATGGCCCCTAACGCCTTCCCCTCCCGGCCTCATGGTTCCCAACTGCCCTGGCTAGCCTGATGGCCCCCAACTGCCCTCCCCTGCCAGCCTGATGGCCTCCAACGCCTTCCCCTCCCGGCCTCATGGCCCCCAAATGCCCTCCCCTGCCGGCCTCATGGCCCCTAACCGCCTCTGCCTTGGCCCCCACCATTGTGGCTTTGTCTGGAAGAAAGTCAGACGGTCGGAAGATGTCTGGTCTCCGGGTCTAATTAGCATATTACCCTTTTATCAGTATAGATACTGGTGGTAGTGGTGATTAGGTTACAATTTTGTCTATAGATTGAAAACTATTGAGACAAGATTATAGAACCAGAGGAGAAATGGACATCACTGAGATTCTGGAGTTGAAAATGGCAGAGGGATAATAGTATTACAGCAGGAGGAAGCATTTTAAATGTGTAAATATGGGAAGAATGGTATATGTAGAAGTTGGAAAGACAGAGATGGAATGGACTATAGTAGACATGTGACAAGTTTTTATATTTGGTGCTGAGTTATCAAGTGCATTTCATCTGTTTGGTAAACCTTGGTAGGAGAAATGTCCCATCTTCTGTGGAAGCTGAGGTCAGATATACTTGCTGTCTTTGCTGTCTGACAGCCTGAATGATGGCACAAGACTAAGCTTGGTCAGTTGGACATTCCCACTAGACTCTGAATCTGGAATGAGTGATACATATCAGCAGTGCCTGGAATCCAGTTTTCAGAGGCATCAATGTCATCAGAAATATAAAAAACTTCCAGCTCTTTTTGAGGTTGGAACATGGCTCTGATTTTGTTCATCTACTAGTAGCTTCCTTTATTTTCTACTGTTTACCAGGGCTGGTTCTCCAGCCTTTCCATCAATTCTGAGAGCTGCCTAATATTCTTCCACTGAATAATTTTTCTTCTTAAGTTTATCATATTTTTTGTT